TCAAGTTCAGTACTGATTTTATGTTCCAAGAAATATTAATCACTCTCATTGACGTTTATTTTAGGGAGGTGCTTCCCGCAAGAGAGTTCACTTTAACTGTAAAGGAGAGGTTTTTCATAGTTCTTAAAAACGTATAGAGATGGACCTTTTCATCTTTTTCAGTATTAAATTCCGTTTGCATTTTTCAACCACGCAACCTTGTTATTCCACAAGGCATAAGATCTTTCGTTTTTCTTCTATGTGAATAGAAAAAAATTTTCTTCTTAGACATGTTATGTTTGATGTTCTATAAGATCTTTAAATCATTTTTCAAACTCAAGGCCCTAAATTGGTTAACACTTGACTTTTTAAAAAATTCACGTACTAAAATATGAACATTATATTTCGTATTGTCATTTAATTTTTAATACCATTAATATAACTGATAATTTTTACATACATTTGCATCCTATTTGTAAATAGCGCATAAAATGTTATGTGCCTCTGTCCTCAGTGCAATACAGAATAAATATATATGTCACGCCTAGCAAAGAGTACAACTTTCCCGAGAGAAAGGTGAAAAACAATTTTTTGTTGCCTAAAATTTCTAAGAAAATGCATATGTAATGCATTATGTACATATAATGTAATATGTTATCATGCATATATAATAGTATACTATGCATATATTGGGTTAGCAAGAAAGTAACTCCGGTTTATTCAAATAAATAGCGTTACGTTCGTTTTGTTAGTTCTTCTGACAGTCTTATAACTTTTTTTTCTTCTGTGATTTGGCAACTGACACTTTTAAGTTGCTATAGAAACAAATTCCGTGTATTTTTACTGTTAATTTACAGTCAGTTTTAACATAGGGTGCAAAAATTACCATTATCCACATATTTTACTTTTTATTTTTATAAAGCCAAGAAAGCGGTTGAGGCTTACAAAGAAATACCTGACGTTCATGGCGTTAATTGCTTAACAGAACGCATCTGTCATAATTGGTTTAAAACATTTCTTTTTCGAGATTTTATAGTTGAAGATTACTAGCGTTCTGGTCGACCTTCTGAAGTTGATGATGACAAAATTAAAGCTATAAGTGAGTCGAATCGTCATATCACTGTGCGAGAGATAGCAGAAAGGTTAAATGTATCAAACACTACAGTTGAAAATCACATAAGATGCCTTGGAGTCGTTCAGAAGCTCGGTATTTGGGTTCAGCATGAATTGAAAGAAATTCATGTAAAGACAACGAACCAATATTTCCAATATGAATTTCAAACGTAAAGCAATCGACACTTTTTTTCTAAAAGATTTATCTGGTGATAAAATGTCGATCGTCCGCAAGAACATTAGTCGAAAAAGATCAGGGTCTAAGCATAATGAACGAGCACAAATCCTCTGAAATGTTAAAATGCATCAGAAAAAGATCACACTGCCAATTTCATAGGAATTACAAACGTTTTTGTGTATTTTTAGCTACTTCGAAGTAACCAAACGATCAACTCAGATGTTTAATGCCAACAACTTATGAAATTAAAGGAAGCAATCAAAGAAGAAAGGGCTAGAATTGGCAAATTGCAAAAGAATCGTGTTTCACCACGACAGTGCGAGGCCTCAACATATTTAGCAACATGTAAGAAATTACTGGAGCTTGGTTGGGAAGTGATGTAGTATCCGCTATTTTTTTTTTTTTTTTTTTTTTTTTTTTTTTGATAAACATTAAGTTTTATGAAAGTGGGATCATGAAGTTACCAGAAAGATGGCAAAAGACCATCGAACAGAATGGAAGGTATTTAACCAATTAAAGTTCATTTTTGTACAGAAAAACTGAGGATTATTTCACACTAAAAACCAAAATTACATTCTTGCCAGCTCAATATACTAATAACCCCGCCATTGATTGCTTAGAAAGAGTGTGTAGGAGCAAGTATTTCATATGGGCTTGGACGTCTGTTGGCATTTATTTTGAATACAGTTACCAATTTCAAAGGACGAAATGACATCAGTAAAGTATTATTCAAAATATTTGCTCAATTGAGTTTGCTGTATAAGGCATTTTCTCCCTCCTTTCTGCATAACTTCGTTGTGTAAAGGTAGCACACACCGCGTGTATTCGATAGGTCCACGTTCGAGTCTCGGCGAGAGCATTGCTCATTTTTCCCGATTCCTACTTTCAAATAACTCTCTGCAGCTCTTAAGCCTAATCTTAAATCTAATATTGGCACATTTTTTTTCTTAATTGGAGCTTCCGCATATATTTAAAGTCTTTGCATACATTTATGTAACAAACTTGTCCTTTGGGGTAACACTGTAAATAGAAGGGGGATTTTATACAAGTCTCTAACTAATGGCCTTAGAAATTACAGATTAATTAAGTTTTAAAAATAAATTAAATTTCTTTTGATATGCCAAGTCGCAACACGAAGTGATTATTTGCGAAGTTGTGAGTAAAATAAATAAAACGCCTCAACATCAAAGAAAATGAATGATATATACATAACAGTGTGACATATCGTAATGTAAAAAGTAAAAGTAAAAAAAAAAAAAAAAAAAAAGATTCTGCTAACATAATTTGTAATGTCGAAATCCAGTTTCCATTTCAGAAAATTGAACTGAACTCATCGATGGTATAGATCTCCGCACCCTGTACAACAAACATTTTATTTCAAATTCTAACAGTATGCATGTAATGAACAATATTATGTATTCTCTGTTAGAGTACATAATGAATATAGTATGTCAGAATTCATATGATCAGAATATATAATGAGCTGAAAACACATTATCGTATTTCCTTCTAATGTTATATCTTCCAACACTAACGGTGGCTTCTCAGTTAAAATATTTATGTCCACTGCGAGAGAAAAAAAAAAAGAAGGGGGACATTTCTATATCTCCCGTTCTGGCTGATGGACGAAGTTTAACTTGCGTTTTTCATGTCTCAAAAGCTCGACTTAGGATATTAGGATATGTATTAGATTTATATATAACACTGTTCTAATATAGGTATTTTGACACAAAATCGGACGTTTTCTGAAATGGCATGCCAATTGCTTTCCATATTTCGATTGTACGACTCAAATTATGCCAAGCTGCCAAGTTTTGTAAACATCGCATGAGTAGTTTTTAAACCATTAGCTCTCAAAATTTTAGTTCCTCAATGTTAATTGAATTTGATACATATTTATTTATATATCTGTTTTTTATTAAACTTATTTGATTCTTCCTTTCATATTTCGAAATTTAGCTTCATTCAAAATATAATTCACCTATTTTTTATGATTTATTTTTAAACAATTTTTATAAATTTTTCGAAAATAATTTTGAATAAAAAGTTTTGTTTATAAAAATTTTGTCATCATCTTAAAGTAGATGTATTTATAAGCATACCTGCAAAAAATAAGAGTCTTTTATTCAAAATTTAAGAAGATATCGGTGGATTTACATTTTTGGGACGTTTTTAAATTTGACTTATTTATAATAAGTCATAATAACGATAATGTGGTTTACGCACATTGTTAAAATTATTTGAAAGTATGAACGATGACCTTTTCTTCTGCTCTTGGACAATGAAGTAAAAGGAAAGGAAAACCGGTTGCTATAAATTAAGAAGTTCGTTAAGTGAATTATTCTTGGCGCAAACTGAAAAGAAATGTGACAAGACAAATTTTTAAATTTCTCTATAATTTTCTCACCAAAAATTACAAAATCTAGGCATAATGAGTCGTAGGATCGAAATATGGTAAAAAATTAGCATGTCCTTTCAGAAAAAGTCCGATTTTGTGTCCAAATACCTAAGTTAGAACAAAGCTATATATAAATCTAATATATATCCTAAGTCGCGCTTTCGAGACATGGAAAACGCAATTTAAATTTCGTCAATCTGCTCAGTAGAATGGGAGATATAGAAGTGTTTCCCCACTTTTTTTTTTTTTTCTTTTTCTTTTCTCTCTCTCTCTTTTTTTTTTTTTTTTTTTTTTTTTTTTTGAGCAGTGTACCTATCTCTAGTAAATTTTCGATTTCCAGTTATTTTACTTTGTAGAATTTTTTGTTATTCTTTAACAGGCCAATGTCTGTGATTTTTTTTTTCTACAGTGGAGTTTTAAAACGGCCAAATAGTGTATGATTAGCATAATTTGTGAACAAACATAAAATGGTGTGGAGATGAGAAAAAAAAACTATTGTTATGAACTTTGTTTTATACCTACCTAGAAAATTTTATCTCTACATAAAATCGACGCCTTATTATCCTTACACGAAACAATGCGTGGAAGGGTGAATTTAGGGTTGTTTCTGTACTCTAAGAATTCTATGATAATGTAAAAATTAATGGCTTACATAAAAGTTTTTTTTTATTTTCATGAAGTTTTTTTTATTTAAATATAACGAAATTTTCATTTTAAGGAATCAGATAGACTTTAAAGGACAATGAAAAAGCTTTCTGTAGAAAACATACATAATGTTATTTACCTTTCCCCTTTAAACTCAGTTAGCTATAAAGTTAAAAAGTGTTTTATAGTTACCTATAAAACATTTTTTTTCTGAAACGTATCGTTGGTGAGGTATTTCACATTTTCAGTTTAAATAGCTCACTCTGCATATATTCTGTGATCATTTTACAGGAGGATTCAAAGAAAATCAAAAATGCCAGGGACTTTCATAAACTTATCTTTTGTCATGACTAATATACATACATGGCATCATGTGCTGGAAATGATATATCCTTCTATTGTTGTTGAGCGGATGCAAGATTTTGACGAATTAAGTTGCTTCATTGTTAGTATCAATAATCTGTCCTTGAGTTGTTCTCATTTCTGATATTGGCTGGAACAGCATTTTAAATATTATTTTATGATTGAATTGTGCGTAAATTAAACTCACTGAAAGAAAAATGGCTACATATATTACGATTTTCATGTATTTTGCAGTGGTATTCTAACATAAATGTGTTTTTACTGAATTATTGTTTTGACAAGAATTAACATAAAATTAATGAAACTTTTTAATTTCTCCCTCAGCGCCAGAGCCTCAAGGATCTTCTTCCGTCTCCAGTCTAGATTGCTTGTCTCTCATAGTTGAAAGCATCAGTCCGAATACAAATAGTCTGATTACTACAGTTTCTATGGCAACAGATTCACGGCCACTCTAAGACTGACAACGAAGCGGCAGATATTAAAAGATTATCTTAAAGCATTTCAAATGCAGCTCAATTTCACATCAAAGTGTTGACTGTTCTGTGATTAATGTTTATATCTTTTAAACAGAAGAAATTTTCAAGAATCATGGTCTATTTTTTATCTTCGCCTTTCCAAAACGAACAAAGACTTTTGATGCGAAAAGGAAAACAAAACGAACTTGAAGCATTTTCTTTTTTTTTTTTTTTTTTTTTTTTTTTTTTTCCCTTTTACTTTTTTATCTGAATCATGAAATTCAGTAAGAGCTGTAAGAGCTGAGTTATTAAATACAGTGAGAGATTTTTCTAAGTAGTTAGTTTCTAGAATTTCTACGACTGAATTTTAGCATATGAGGAATGATGCATATGAGCATATGAGGAGTAATGCTTATGTATCGGTGATGCCTAAAAAACTGCAAATAACACGGCGAAATGGATGTAATATTTTAATTTATGAGTATTTTGAATATTTTATGAGCTTTACGTTTACAAAACACTTTAAATAAGGAGATAAAAATTGCGGTAGCGTTTGATCAGATCTCGGAAAAGGTGATACTATAAATATCTGCTACATTGGGGGAGGGAATAAATCGCTTCACTGTATCACAAAAATGCCACATTTTTCCCGACATTAATTAATTAGAACATTTTTATTAACATTTATGCATTTCTTTAAATGGCTTTCCATCTCATTTTATTCTCAGTTTCATAAAATAAATTCAATTCTCGTTTAGTAATTCTTTGCAAAATTATTTATGTAGTATGATTATCTTTTATTCATGATAACTATTTCAATTATTGTATCATACATAATATTTTTATATCTTTATGCAATATATTAATACTCTATTATAATTACGCTTTGAGATGCATAGATAATTAATTGAATGATAATAAGTCTATTCTGATCTTATTAAACATTTAAATACTATACAGGTCCGTAATTACCATGAGGTAGTGTTCCGAGCTCTGAGCTTAACGTATATGGGGGGAGGCATTGAGGATGGGAAAATATATCGACTTTTTCATATTCAAGATTCTAGTTAAAATAATTGGAGCAGATTTATTGACAATACTTCAGTTCAGCTTATGATAAATGGAGACACCTGGTCTTGAGATACCAATGGTTAGCAAGTATTGTTCCACATGCATCATTAACTAGATTTATTTTAATTTTAAATAATAATTAATTACATTTTATATTACAATACATAATGTACTAGTATAAATTTTGAAACATATTTATATGAAACTGCTATAAAAATTGATAAAGTGCATTTTTGCATTAAAACTATAGAGTTCATAAAGTCCACGATTCATAGAGTCCATAAAGTTTGATCAAACATTCATAAAATCGATCATACAAACAATCATAATGTCTTAATTAAACCTTCACACACCTTATGCTCATAACGTTACTGCATGTGAGCTTATATACAAAATAATGAAATTTTAAAGAAGTAAATATGCTGTCATTGCTATCATTAAGCAAGATGGCGAATATTTTTTCCCAACAGAGCAAGAAGATTCATAATTTTACAAATTGTAAGATGTCTTTTCTTAATAAGGAATCTTTTGAAAGGCATGACATTAGCCGAAGGAAATTTAATATGCCATTGTTTCTTTTAGGGACACTCCATTATATAATGATCTGGAGACTGTTAATAATGAATCATAGTTTACTTTCATCGCGTTTACGTACCTGATGTATGCACATCATGCATCATGCCCTTAGCTGTTCTCGTGACTGTAGCTAAGTCTTAACGCTTATTCTCACAATTGAAATTAATCAAAAAATTCTTTCCGAAGCAGTATGGGAAAGAAAAGGTTCTTCAGTTTAGATTGTCTCTCAGTTAAATGTAATCTAGCCTTGTTAAAATAATTAATGAATTTCCTTCCTTAGCAATTAGAAAACAGAAATTTAAGTAATCCAAATGTAAAAATAAAGTATACTGAATAATTGCTAGTAAACATTTTACCTTAATTATATTGCATATGTTTCAGATTACGCTCTGTATAATGTCAAACAGCTTCGGATGTCATTCACTTAACAGAACTAGTATGACTAAACAGGAATCAAAGCATACCAAAGAGACATAGCAGTACATGACAGGAATAAAAAAATAACATATAACAGCACACACATCAACGAGACATTTATCGAAAATTGTTTCATACAGTTAAAGTGTATACAGCTATTTGAATTAGTAAGAAAATGTTCAACGACAATTACAAAGAAAGGGTTAATGTTGGGGAAAAGAATTAAGTTTGGCGTCTATTATCATTTGTTGCCCAATAAACTCTCCCCGAGTCATCCATGCTTTTAGTTATGGCCCCGGTAATATATGTTTGTAGATATATGTACATCTTGAGAGCACATTCTCCTTATTAAATTTAAAATCTCATAGGCTTTATTATTAATTTATCCCCAACAAAGAAATTAAGGGCTATAATTGAAAAGCCTACGTCCCAAAGCTTCAAGAGGAATACCAAATATAATTTCTATTTAAAGCTTCTGTTGCATTTCGCAGGATGAAGACACAAAATAGAAGTCCATCATTTAATTTTAACACAATCGGATCTTAGTTAAACGGGACGTGGGTGAAATTTAAAGGAGTAGAAGCAGCGGATGGCAGAAGGAGAAGCTAATTTTTTGTTAAACTCGAAACTTCACAAATTTGTACGTTCTCACTACCAAAATCACTTATATAAAATCATAAATCTCCGGGCTAGTTTGCGGTGTTAATTTGGCTAATAGATGAACTTTTAAGATTAAATATCAAAATTCGAAGTGATTACACATTCAGGGAACCTGAATAACGTGCAAATGGGCGGTTAAACAGATAATTATTTTATATTTATCAGTACCTAACATGACCTCTGATTAGTTGATCGCTCGCAGCAAAATGCCTAACTTTAGTAGTCTGCTTTGACATTGTTTAGTTTTTTGACAGAGAGTTGTTATTTCGAAGCATTCAGTGTGTTTTCTGGCTGTACTGAAGAAACTCTGTGTCGCTCATTACACGTGTTTTATCTGAACTGAAAATTTTTTCTTCGTGTACTCAGAAAGTGCCTATTTAATTGATCACTACTCCTAGGTATCGATTATCTGACGGATATTATGCCGACGTAAAGGCCCAGGGGCACCTCACATGAATGAGTCTTAACTGTAGTTCCCATAGACCCAGATTCCGAAATTTAATATAAATTTAATGTTGTTATTTAATGAATACATATTATCAATCCTTAGAAAATACATTCTATATTTAGCACCTTTTATGAATGAGTCTTGACCGGAGTTTCCCAATCGGAAGAACGAAGTAGAAGGGAAGCAAACAAAAGACCCGGATTTCGAAAGATCGAACACATAAGCGGTAAATAAGACTACAGTAAGCTGGAATGTAACTAAAAGAAGTAAAGTGAAACGTGAAATCCCAGTGTGATACTTTACTTTACTTGTAACTTTACTTATAAACACTTTACTTGTTTGGAAAGTTTCTTAAGTGTGAGATCATACTCGGGTAGCTTAAAGAAGAATCTGCTCAAAATAAGTTTCGAATAACAAATGAAGAGGAAAATTGATGAAATACTAAAACAAAAATGAAAATGAAATTGAATGCACTGAATAAAAATAAAGTAATTATGAGAATGTAATTTATAAAATTAAAATAGTCCTTAGAAGGAAAAGCTGCGTACATCAGAGGAAGAGGAAAATTATAGGAATATTTAAAAAAATTTTACAACTTATCGTTAAAAAGTTAGAAAGAAAAGTAAGCTAGAAAAATACGATATACAAACGACAAATTGTTAGATAGTGAAACTGTCTTAGCAAGGAAAAACAACACCGAAACCAATGTCAGGTGCAGTGTAGCTAAAATTGAAGAAATCAAAATTCTAGAAATGGTCTTTTTCATTTAGAAAATTTAATATCATTATTTAATGAATACATGTTCTCAATCCTTAGAAAACACATTCTATATTTAATTTACCGTTCTTCTTATAGTCTTTCACGTCTAGAAGTCTGAATATTATTATTTAGTAAATTCGTATTCTCAGTTCTACAAGTAACTAAATTTTTCAAATGTACCGCACATCCAACATATTCAGAACAAACTTTTGCTCGATGCAAATTCTAACAGTCACAGTTACGGCGTGTTTGTTAGTGCTGAGCAGTTTATGAGGGAAAAAAGTTTTAAATGAAAAAGCCTGAAATAGCTAAAATTAAAAAAAAAGAAACACTAATTTCCTTCAAATTATTTAACGGTAAATAAATTAGATCTAATAAAAACCGAAAATGTTTCTTAAAATTTCATATTCCATTACTGCACCTGCTTAGAAATGACTCTTGCCTTAATGAATGTGTTTAAATTTAAGCGCTTTAATTGTGAGAATTTAATGTACACATTTGAATTGTGGCTTTGAAAAATCCTTCACTAGAAGAAAAAACTGAGAAATAAATTTCTGGCGACGAAGTAAGAGCGGCTACATTATTTTTTAATGTAGTTCATATTCCCCTTTCAATGTAGTTCCATATCCACTCGTACTTCACCTTAGCGGAATCATTTGGCGAAGACGATATGAACTGGTATGACGTTTCGTGACGTCAGATTGAACGAATACGTCATTGAAAAAGACGCAAATTAATTATGACGTCATATTTGACATTAATTTAGTATGCTGTTAGTAAATAAGTAATACGATTTTGTAAAAGATTTCTTTGGGAATTAGCCACATAAAATACTTTTTATTTTGGATCCGGTTGAAGTCTTAAATGTAATAAATTAACGTAATATAACTCCATGGTTGATTGCTATTTACTTAAATATATATATATGTTAATAAATGAAGGATTATCTTAGAAATTTTAGCAACTGTGGTATTTTTATTGGAGGTTCTAAATTTTACTGTATTTAGATTTAATTCCTCAATAAAGTTATTAGAATTCATACAAAGTAGTTTAAGCAAACAAAATTTCATTTTATTAAAATACCTCAGAAAATTTTTGATTACATTCCTTATTTTTTAAATATTTATCCTAGACCTTGTACTTCCAGTTGCAAAATTATTTCAAAAGATATATAAAAAAGAAGTGGGCAGAATTTGACTGTAGGTAGGGAATTTGCGAAAATTATAGGTATAGTTTTAATCTAAGAGTCTGTGAATATAAAATCTAATTTCTTACATCTTCTCTAGAGAACAAAATTTCAATTAGTGAAGCATTTATAATTCTTTGCTAAAACCATTGCCAAGTTATATTTTGACTTGCGAAGTTCCCAGTATTTTCTTGGAACCAGTTAGAAATGTTAGAATTAGTGATAGTTTTTCCAATTCGGAACCAATAATCGTTAAAAGGAGACTTTGTTTTCGATTTCTTTCCAAAACTGTAAAAAAGAAATTTAAATTTTTAATTTTTAAACTTTAATTTTTGAAATAAACATTGTTGAAAATTGTTTCATTTTTGAAAATGAACAAAAAGCGAAGAACAAAGGACTCCTTCAATTTTTAACGCAGATTGTAAAAGGTCTACCTTTTTCTTTATGATCCAATATTCAGATTCATTTTACTTTTCAAAGAAGCCTTTAATAACAGGGAAAATGTCACTTCACATTTATGTCATTCTTGTTGATTAATATATTTTTATGATTATTTTATTTGATTTTTTCCAATCTCAGCTATAATTTACCTCAAAATTCCATATTAAGGTTATTTTAACTTTCAGATGTGCCTTTTTTTTTTTTTCCTGAAAGATTTAGTTGCAAAATATGAAATTGTGTTTATGAAGATAAAATCTCTTTTACAGTAATTCATTTTCTTAAAATCGCTTTCAAAATTGGCATTTCTAATGTAAATTTTATTTTATGATTGTAAACTAGATTATATATATTATAAGTGTTAGAGATGATGTTTTTAGTTTAACATATTTACTGGATAATTAATGTCAGTGCCATTAAAAAATGTCTCAATGTTATCTCAAAATGGTGCCATATTTCTAAATGGTGCTAATGTCCATCAGAAATATGAAAATATTATGTGAAGATGAATTAAAATGTTATCGGTGAGAAAATGAATGTAAATATTGTACAAAGTAGTTTAAAACAATTGCTATTTAAACTCTTTAATTAAAATATTGTGCCTTAAAATGTGGAGGATTTTATAAAAATAATATTTTTCTTTCAGGAAACTAAATTATCGGAAGCAGAATTTTATTCATATAGTTTCTTTGTTTTTGTATAATTTTGCTGTTAGAAAGCATAATAATATTTTTATAACACTGAATAAAAACTGCAGTTAAATTAAAAATTTTTGTGTCGTGAAAAAAATTCTTACTGTTGTACTGCAAATAAATGAGTGCCTTTATATATGTACATATTTTTAAGTTTAAAATAAAACGTTTGTGTGTACTGTATCTCTTCCATATAATGAAAACAGGAAAACAGTTCCAACAATTCCATGAAAACATTTGGACAATTTTCTATGCTTTTTGGAAAATATCGTAGAGAAGCAAAGCTACCATTCCTTCCCTGGGCATCACTATGAACCATTATTTCAAAGTTATAATGTCATTATGTCACACTATTTTTCTTGCTTGAATTTCTCAAAAAATTGATTTCATTTATTTGTTTAAGCATCGAATAGAGCAGAAGAAAATCTTTTAATTTAAGTTTATATGAGGTTTCTAACTTAATTTCTAATTTTGGGGGAAAAATCGATGGACTTTTTACTTTATTTATTTATTTATTTATTTATTTATTGGACAATTTGCCGTAGCAGAATTGTTGGAAGCAAAAAGGTGATTACTTATTCACAGTTGGAGAACGATTTTTATATGAATAGTTTAATAGATAACATATTACTGAGACTAAAAAGAGGAAAATAAAATAAATAAATAAATAAGTTGTTGTCTTGTCCATAACATATGGTACAATGGTTGCCAGAACCTAATCCGAAGAGAGGTTGGATTTCTATTTTCCACCCCCAATTTTGAGGGAGAGCACAACGGGGTGGAGAGATCTGGAGATCTTCCAGCCCTCTTCACTCCCACCAATCCACACGAAAAGACTTTCGGCTCGCCGCATATCTAGAGTGCCGCCATACCACACCAACAGTATACATTATCAAACATCCATGTATTATTTAAACCCGGGCCCTTCGGTACCGTAGTAGGTTCCTCTGACCACTACACAGTCTGGGCGACAGATAAATGAGTAAAGGACAGAAAAGGTTTGTTATGGGTTAAAAAAAGAGTTAATAAGCCTTTTTTAAAAAACTGACAAAATGAGCAATAGAAGGACAAACTCGTACAAAAAAAAATAAAGGACAAAAGTAATTTACCATATATAATAATGGGATCAAGGGATTAAAATAATTCTCTTTGCAAATTCCTCTATATGAAATTCTTTACAAATGTATGTATTCAACTTTAAGAAATTCATCTGTATTCACTTCTATGTTACGAATAATTAAATCATGTGAGTCTAAATAACGAAGTCTAATAAGGAAAGTGCGTTGTCAAAGGTATGAGCCTTTAATTTTAGGAACTGATCAAGTATATTCCATGAAATTATGTGAAGAATTATTTTTGCTTCATTTAGTTCATTACTTTATAGGTTTTAGACAAAAAGTTTTTATACATTTATAGCTTTTATACAAAATCATATTTTATTAAAACTTTTTTTAAAAAATTTTATAGGAATTTAATACATGTTTGAGCTTTTACGTCTGTAGACTGAAAGCAAAGTACAGTACCCGCTGCTTTTTAAACTCACTGGTTAATAAACTCAGCCGCTTAATATGTTCAAATTTCCAGGAATAAAAACAAATACATACTAATCAATAGAAAAACTGCCGTTTTTTAAACTCACATAAAACTGATTCTTCAGTGTCAAAATATCCTACTTGTAGTCATCGAAGCTTTCTGTAATTCTTTCATTTAATGCATTGCGGATCGTGGCTTTATCATTCAAGTATGTAATGCTACAATAAAACGAGTTTGACAGAAATTTTACTATCCGCGGTCCTTGTACCTGTATGATACTGTTTTTAGAATTCTTTGTCCGTACTGGTCTTCAAAAGACCACAATTTCCTTATCTTAATATTAACAAAAAACAATCCTCTAGAGCATCGATTCTCAACCGATGGTACGCGGGGTGGTACGCAAGAGAAAAGTAGGTGGTAAGCAAAGAAACAAATAAGTATTTTTAACTAGCAAATTCAAAAATCTCGTGAAGAAAGAGAACAATTGATAGAAATTTCCTGTGATCAAAATATAACTGAAGATTTCAAAAACAAGGATTTTCTTCCACGTTATATTTGAAAAATAAATACTGAACAAAATTAAAAGTGGATCCTAATTTACTGTTAAAACTAAGTGAAATAAGATCAGACATAAACAAACTGCTATCTCTCAAATAAGCCCGTATTTCACAGCAAATTTTAAAATTAAAGTATTATAACTTAAATTGTGATAATTAAAATGGTAACCAATTTTTATTCCAATATTCTTTTATGTATGCATATTTAATGCAAATAGCCAAATATTTTGTTGGTTGTGCAAATGGCAAAATATTTTTTTTTAATATTTCTATTCAGAAACTGAAAAATAATCATTTTAAAATATAGTGGTAGTACTGAAGTTTTTCAATTTTTGTTTAGGTGGTGCGCGTTAGTCTTATAGGTTGAGAACCTCTGCCCTAGAGGCATTATAAATGAATGAGGGTTCCTTCTCGAATACCAAATGGTAGGAGATTGAAGTGAAATTTTTGTATCCTCTCTGTTAAGATTTCCACATTCAAAAATCTTCCCTTTAAGATAGACACAAAGACGTATAAAACAATTAATGATATGCTTTTTAGCATTTACCGCTCGTTAACAGTCTTTGAATATAAAGAACGTGATAGCCGTAGACTGAAAAGCAAATATTAACCAATTTTTATTGGTTATAGTCACGCTTGTAATAATGAAGTATATAGTCACGCTTGTAATAATGAAGTGGCAGATCGACTAAATAGACGAAGGGAAATCCTTCTGCTGCCTAAAAACGCAAGTTTTGAAATCTGAGTAAAACGATTGAAGAAGCAATTTTTTTAATTTGCTGTGCGTTCCAAGCGAAAAGGCTTAAGAAGGAAACGATAGATTGTTAAAAGATTTTAATATTCTTGGTAATTGAAGCCATACAAAAACTACATTTAAATTGAGAATTTCCTAAAAGCATTGGCAATTTACTTAAACAAGGAATTATAATTAATCAAGAACTAATAAAAATTTCAGCTGTCTCAAGCAAGAAAAATAAATAAATAAATAAATAAAAAAGACGGAAAATTGAGAGACGTTGAACTTGCTGTTCTAGAATAGTTTCAAGCTACAAAACTAAAATGTGTTTTGATTTTTAGAGCTTTTTTCATTAATTTGTTAAATGCAAGGAGAAAATTTTGTATCAGCTGACAGATAGCTCACAGGTTCGACCCGACCCTCCCAAAAAATATCCAATATTCTGCTAGAAAGGTCATGCATATCTAGTCAATGCAGGTAGTTAATCTCCTTAAAAACAGTTGAAAATCGTTTTCGAAAATGTGGCTTTTATATGGAATTCTCGGGAAATTGCAAGCTATAATAGCTAATGTTTGAGATATCAATAAAGAAAGTGAAGAAGATTCGATTTTATATGTGTCAGTTCTTAAAAATAGTGAGGTTACGCGGGTAAAAACTGAGTAGGAAGAATTGCAGAAACTTACAGAGGAAGTGATAAAGAAAAGTGACGATATTAAAACATAAATCGGAATATAGAAAAGCACTGCAAATTCTAAGAAAAACTCTTAAATTCAAAGGTCCTTATTAAAAAGCTACCAACAGTTTTACGAAATTGAGAATAAAATTGAAAAGCATTGTTGAACAATTTGAAACGAACACAAAAAGGATAGCTGTATGTAAGAGATTAAATTTTATCAAGAACGTAATTATGAAAATATTTTTGTAAAAAACTCAAAAAGTGAATTTTAAAATTGCGTAAGTATTTTAATTTCGGAATTCCTTTTAAATTATTATCTGTGAATTAATTATTGAATAAGTTGTTAGTTATTATTCTAGTAGAAAAGTAAAAAACTGCCGCTTAATAAACTCAAATAGGCTTAAATGGAAGGAATATTAATAAATGGCAGGTAATTTTCCCCCCCCCCAAGTTAAAGTTTTTTCGTGGCGCCATCTTGTGTCGCATTTATAACTTAAATGCGACACAAGATGGCTTTTTTTTTTTTACCCAATTAAATGAATTCTTTTTTTTACCCATTTTAGATGGCTTAAGCTTTTTTTTTACCCAATTAAATGAATTCATGAAATTCTTTTTAGCATTTCACCTTCAGTTAACTTCTTAAAGGGATTAGTATTTTTAAAACATAGATAACATCGTTAATGATGATTATAACATTTTTCTATAAAGAATAAATACTCTCTCTCGACCTAGACAACCAAATACTACATTGCTCGTGACCACCAAAACGTGTGATTATGAAACGACAGTTAAGTAGGCAAATTTCATTATATAATTAGTGAGTATTTTTAACTAACTTAGTAAAATTACCGTCCTCCCCTTATTTAAGGTGTGTTGTGGTGGGAAAATGCAGTAGGCGCCTCTTGATGGTGATCACGTTTGTCCCCGACTGTTTTGATAACATTAACCGAAAGATAAGAAAAGGTATAATTCAAAGCAGCCAATGGAATATATCTCATTTAAAATAACCAGTGGCGTAGCTAGGATTTCAGCGCCCGGTGACAACTGAAGAATTTGCGTCCCTTTCTGTGTGCCAAGAATGGAAAACATTTCAAAACATTTCATTAAAAAATTTCGTTGCATCAATTTGGCGCCGCCTGGATGCTGCGCCCGGGGACAGATGTCCCCCCTTGCCCCACCCTAGCTACGCCACTGAAAATAACTGTAACTAAAAACATACAAATAGGTACTTTCACAACATTTGTTTTAGGAAAATGTAAAAGTTTGTTCATATTTCTGGAAATTATTTAACCGATGCTGTATCCCTAAACTTAATACTCAGAGGGTGTCCGTCATTGGAATGTAAAACTTAAAAATAAGGAAAAGGTAATTTTAGTCTAGCAAAGATGTTCGGAATTTTTTTTCAGGTGTAGTGTGTGTGAGGAGGGGGTATCTACAGAAATCTCTTTGCTTCTGAAGAAGCCAGACCAGAGTCTGATAAAATTACGAGTACAAAATCTACGTCAAGTTACGGTTGCTTTTGGCCTAATTTTAAACTGTTGATTGTAATCGAAACAAGGCTGTTTGGCAACTAAAACCCTTGACAACATTTCTCTATTAGTAGGCAATTTTTGAATCCATTTTTACTTCATTTGGCAACATTACTTCAATTTCAAAAATTCATTCTAGAATTCTGATCATA